AGTTACAACTTGGCAACATTTGGGTCGGCTGGGAGGTTGGTCTCTCTCCATTAAGGCAGGATTGGATTTAATGAGGACGTCTGCACTCCTGTGCAATGAAGCTCTAAGAAAGCCCACCCGCTGGAAAGCACAGCACTATAGTCTAAAGACAGGAAAAGACAGAGACGCTCAATGAGCTCATCTGCTCTGGACAACTGATCGGGTTTTGTGTTAATGAGCAGAAGGGTAGCAGAGGAGTCCAGCTCTCGGCTTGAAGGGCTTGCGCTAACTGAATAAAGTCACAGCAAAGCTCAATCATCTAATCAACAGCTGCGCAGTGCAATGGGATGGATGACAGCTTACCAAGCTGGGACGTAGCTACATCGGTGCAAATGGGTCAGTTGCACCAGGGCCCACAAGGATACGGGGGCGCTCAGATCTATCTGCATACACGTATCCCTATTCATGCCACTGGCAGAAGTTCAGCCGCGCAGTGGAAAGGGGCCGCTGGAGGAGAGCGGGTCCCAGGACAGGGAGGCAGCTGGGATTGGGGGCCCCTCCAGCTAGGGCAACCTCAAGCGTGAGCAGTCGGCAAAGATGCACAGAGAAGGCGTGAGGGGGAAAAGGGGCGGATATGGGAGATGTGCCCCCCACTTCTAGACATGAAGCCCCAGGTAAAAGCATTGGCCATTTTGAGGCAGAACTGGCTGAGCTGGGAGGCTGGACTGGAGCTGTGGAGGATGGGGGAAGGGAGTTGGAGTGGCGCTTGGGGGGTTCTGGATCAGAGCTGGGGGGATGGGTGGAGTAGGGGGCTGGAGTGGAGCTGGAGCAGACAAAGGGGGGACCTGGGGGAAGACTTGTGGGGGCCTGAAATGAGGGTGAGAGGTGGATCAGGGAAGTAGGGGGCAGGAGGAGTGATTGGATCAGGGCTGGGGGAGTTGAGGGGTTGAGAGAGAGCTTGTGGGGCTCAGAACTGCAGGGTTATGGGGGATCTGAAGGAGGGCTGTGAGGGAAGCTAAGCAGGGGCTGAACTGTGGCTATGTGGGGCTGAATTGGGGCTGTGGCTGGGCTGGAGGGGGTGGATTTTGGAATCGGGAAGAGGGACCCTAACATATTCTTGCACCCGGGCCCTCTGGGACCTTGCTATAACCCTGCTACCAAGAAGATGGAGCAGGAAGTTTTCACCTTTATAATCAACTAAGGAGACAGTCACATTCTAATAGAAGCTCCATAGCAACATAAGAAATGACACTAATAGATTCAACATGGTGCCAAATTAACAGAAATGGCTAATAAAAGCATCAATTTGCTGTGTGCATGGGCAAGCTGGAAAATAGAGCCATGGAATTAGGCAGAACAAAGAGAGAACATGTGGTGGAAAAGAAAACAGACGACAGATGAGTGGGTGATACCTGGAGGCTGAATGGTCACTGTCCAACAGACATAACAATTGCTAGTGATGAAACATGGAACAAGGTCAGACACTGATGAACACGGGCTTGATTTTTCCATATGGTGTTTCCATGAATGAGTGGAAAGATTTCAGTGGTAACCAGTCTACTAAAATACATCCAAGTACCAGTCGCTTACTGGTTTTCTCCCTAGGATGAGCCATCAGGATTTACTGATTAACATCAGGACATTAGCATTCATATCCTGAATTAAACCTCTCTGGTCATTTTTTGTGTGCAGACTGCACTAGCCCAAGGGTTATGTAAAATTCATTTTGCTTTGGACTCTAAATAAGATTCAGAAGAAATTGCCAGAACTGGAGGATGGGGCAGAGTGGGAATGTGACTTTGCCATTAAGTCCCCAAAGAACAGCCCTGTTCTATATATTCTCTACGGGGAATAACAGGTCATGCAGTTTCCCAGTTGCACAAATACGTGGACGTTGGGTTACCAGTGATAGGTAACTGAACGTGTTGACTATTCTACAAAGCATTCTTTGTCTTTTAAGATATCACATAAGCAAGAAATAGATACAAGCTCTGAAAATCTCTATTACATCCATCAGAGCCAATAAAGAGTGGCAACATACAGAGACCCCTCATCTGAGTTTATTACAAACTGCAGTTTTGTATCCCACCTAGATACAGGAAGCACGGTTATGAGATGAGAAAAATGGATATTTCAGGGCATAGATTGTACCACTTGAAAGATCTAGGAAAGGCACTCACATTCATAACATCTCAAATCCAACTCTTATACAAGACTGTCTGTATAGGACATCAATCAAGATGAGAGAAACTGTACGCTATTTTCTAGTAACACACTGCCAATCGCAAGACAAATGCCAGATGCCACAGAACGAGAAGTAACCATTTTTCAACTTGTGAATGTCTTCAAACATATTACAATGAAAGTGTGAAAAAAAGATCCTTTCAGCTTCATCTGTTTTGACAGATGCCAAAACTTGGAGCATGGCATTTTATCTTCATCCTGCAATTATCTTTATGAAACTTAAACAAGGCTGAGGATGGTGGCTTCAGCCTAAAATTACACTCTTCACTGCACAACACACAAAACATTTCAAGCAGTCTGGCCATTGCAGGAGAAAAGATTTGCCCTTAAAAAAAAGGAGAGGACAAGTCTGAGAAGATAAAAGTGCTGTGCCATCTGACATTAACATGGTCCAGTTCATATTGTTTCTAATTGGCTCCGTTTGTCTTCTTACTGCACTCTGCAGTACCGCTACTGACTACCATTAGTAGGCAGTTATAGGCTGCATGCAGCTTTTTTCCAATCAAGAGCATAAATTCTAAATGTTGCTTGTGTAAATTCATTTAGCCCATTATATTAAAATAGGTGTCAAGATGCTAAATCCTCCACTGCGGCGGAAATGTACCCCCAAAGGTCATTTTCAGAGGAGACACAAAATTTTGGGTAATCTCTGGTATTTCTAATATGCCCTTCACTGCAGTACTGTATCTGATTTTCTGCATGCCCTTAAAACTGGAAACAGTAACTTTTCTGTTAAAATGCATGTGAAATCAAAATATACTGTACTCTTTGGGGCTTTTCATCATCCTAAAGGACAGCAGGTTAGAGGATAGAATGCGTAGGTCCAAAGGGAGGCAGAAAAAAACAGTCTGACACCACTGATGTAATTACAGCCCATTGCATGAAGGCAAAATCTGAAATATTTAGGAAAAGGGGATATATTATTTTGGGAAGCCCTCAGGTACCACAGTGAAGGATGTGATATAAAAACCTAGAGAGTGAGAAACTGTCCCAAATCATCTGGTCCATAAGCAAAGATTGTTATACAATTTTCCCAAGACATTCTGCTTGTCTTTAAAATAGGGTGTGCAGATTTTCCTGCCTCTTTCTCTTATTCTAGAACTAACATATCCTCTACTGCAGTCAATACAAAAGCCAATCTCCCCTCTCCATTTGTGTTGCCCAACAGGAGGCTTCCTCTGTGGTGCCCAGAGGTATCGATGGAGTACAGGATCACGTACGGTATTTCATTGTGTAACACCTTGTGTAGGAGTTCAGCACCACAGAACTCCATCTGGGAGAAAACCCCAACAATGGTGACCTTAGTGATGTTTAATAGAACTCTGAAACCTCAAGAGGTAGTCTAATATCAGTGTAAAGATCACCACTATCAGTCTGACAATGAAGTATTATCATTCTCTCACCTCTGTTAAGGGGACAAGAGCATGGGGGTCCCAGGGATCTCGTTGTGGTGTCTGGGAGACGATAGGCTATGCAGACTACACACAGAATTTAATTAAATATCACAATAAAGACAGTGGGTCAAATCCTGTCTTTAGTTACACTCACTGCAACCCCATGTAGGCTTAAGTGGGACTTAACTGATGCCCAAGCTTTTTGCTAGCATGCTACATGTGAAGGAATGAATTCACCTGATTACCTCTGACAATTGAGAGATGAGGTAGGTGAGTTAATATCTTTTATTGGAGCAATTGCCAATAAAAGCTATTATCTCAGCTACCATGTCTCTCATCTGGGACCCACACAGCTACAATACCACTTGGGAAATTCTGAGATTTGCAGTTTTCTTTCTTTACCAAACCATAACCAGCTTAATGAAAACTCCTATTAAAATGCCTTTTTTTGCTTGATTATTGAGTTACCTCAATCCTATTATAAAGAGGAAACATCAAATTTCAAAACTTGAAATTCTGAAATTTAATCAAAGATCAAGTTTCAAAGCAAAAACTGCTGAAATTTTAATTTCAAAACATACCATTCAAAATCTTTTTTGCAAATAGCAACAATTTTTGTAATAAAATCTAGTAGATAATTACTAACATTTTTGCTGAAATTTACTGAAAAATAGGCAATTTTATCACAGATCTGCTTGCGGGACCCATCCTGTCCCATCTTAGATCCTTGTACAACACCCGCCACCACAGTATCTGAGCACCTCACCATCTTTACTGTATTTATCGTCACGTTATCCCTGTGAGGTAGGACAGTGCTATTATTGCTGTATTACAGATGGGAAACTGAGGCACGGACAAACTGACTTGCCCAGGGTCTCTGAGAAAGACAGTGGCAGAGTACGGAATTGAACCCATGCCATTCAAGTCCCAGAATGCCTTAAACACTAGGCCATACTTCCTCCTCTTCATGTCCTGTAACTATGCCAGCTAGGTCACAGCATGGACAGCTTTCAAATTAGCCCTGGTTCTTGAATTCTAAAGAATAAAAGAAAGGATTTTTTCCTGCAGCCATTGGGTAAGTGCATTACCATTAGCTGCAATTATACATGGAAGGTTCCTTGTCAATAGTACCGACGTTCTAAGTGTCACAGTCTTGCTGAGGCTAGCCCCCAGTAAGGTCAATGGGAGAGCAGACTAGTGGGTCCCACGACTTCTCTCCTATGAAATAGGAGTAAACTATGGAATTGTGTTTAAAAAGAGATCTAGTAACCTAATCCAGCAAGGATGACTGTATTCTCTTGTACATCTTTGTTCTAATATATATTTTTCAAAGAGAAATTTGAGGACCTATGAAAAGGTACAGCTCTAGGTACCATTCCTGGTCCAAAAATGATAGCAAAAAATCCAATATGCAGTTAGTCTCACTTTTTACTGCTAAATCCATGAGTTACAGTAACAGACACTTGAAAAACTAGCTCTGCCCAGTTCGGTGCTGTACTGTGACAGAATACTAATGACAGCATTGAATGCTGGCCAGAACATGCTACAAGTACAGAGAAAATATGTACAGGAGCTGTTCAAATAATGATTAAAATAAAAAACCAAGTATGGAATTGCTCCTATCTGCAGAGCATCGTTACAGGGTAATATGCAGTGGCACACAGCTAGTGCTCATGCAGTAAATAAAGCACTATACGTAATGAACAATTCTAGTTGTTTTCCTCTCCAAAGGACCAAACAATAGAATTACCTTCATTTTAATTTGCAGTCTGGCCCCAGAGCATTGCCCTTTGTTGTTGCTGTAACGGTGCCCAGATGCCCTGAAAGCCTCTCAGTCAGATGGAGCTACACCAATCTACACCCACTGAGGACCTGACCCAGATCTTAATGAATTCAGAGGTTTGCCATAATACTAACATCAAGGCCTAACTAAGGGACTAATCCAAACTAATGGGAGTCTCCCATTGACTTCAACAGGCTTTGCTTTCAGGGCCTATGGGCCTAACTCTACATGATGCTTAGTGCCCTCAGCTCCCAACCCAGTGGGAATGAAGAGTGCTGTGCTCTGAATTCAAACTCAGGTTCTCACAGAGGCCTTCAGCCAAGAATGCCCTCACACTTGTCCCAGAAGATGAAATGCTTGGATCAATCCACATTTTTTTATTAATTGTGTTGGGACCATGGGAAATTGGAGATCTGAGTGGCGGGGTCCTCAACCGTTCAAGGCCATGAAGATCATAACCAGTATCTGATCCTGATCCTGACAACTGTGATTCACGTAGGCCTGATCCAGAGGCCACTTAAGCCCCACTGACTTCCCTGGGCTTTAGATCTGGCTCCCAGGCCCTGACCCTGAAAAGAGAACAATGTTGGGGTGAGCCTTTGCAGTTCTCTTTGCAGGATCAGTGCTCATCAATCCATATGCATGCAGTCCTGCTGAAGTACCACCTATCAATTTAAAGAACTTAATGGAGCTGGTTTGGGGTATACGGGTGGGTAGGATTGGTAGCCATTTTAACCTTTTCTTTTGACCTATAAGAGCAGTTGGAGTAACAAAGGCTGTGTACAAAGAGCTGGACCCCAAAAGTGGTTATGATTTCAGCGCTTTAGGATTAACTTTTTTAAAAAATCCAGTATGTAGCTGCCGGCACCCAACAGACAAAATCTGTATCAATACACACAAAACAAAATACAGTTAAATCCTCATAAGAGAGAGACAAAGCCTAAAATGTGATCAAATGCATAATTTTGGGTTTTAGTTTTTAAAAACGCACACAATTTAGAAATGCCAGTTTGCATCTCCTTACTTGGTTTCAAAACAATGTCCAGAACACACAGCGCGGCTGAAAAACATGTTGCTCATGTTGTAGAAATTGGCTTCTCCAAGGCATTACTGAGCTGAAATTCCTTCTCTGAGGTTGCCCCTCTCAGTCAGTGCTATCAACCCCATGATGCCAGTTATTGTAACATTGCATTTTTGCCCCTTTGTCTTCATAAATGATTTTCTATAAACTCTGAATAAAAGATTCAGTTTGTCATTTCAGCTATTTTGTATGCCCACTGGGGAAATAATAAATAACAGCCATTTCCACTGAGAGTCATTACGTGGAAGGGGAAGTTTGCAACAATCACTTCTGAAGAGCATAAATCAGGGAAAGCTGTAATATATTACGGTGACTGTCAGATGGAAGAACTCAAGAGCCCGTGTTTCACCTCCTGCAGTATGTGTTCAGGGATCAGTTTCCAGCCCTGTCATTGTCTTTTTTCCTTGATAGTGCCCATCAAGACCGATGATTTCTATAATCTGTAAGTTTATTGGCAGCAGTCATGCGGTTCAGGAGAGGCGCATGAGTAGCTGCCGTGAGGTGGAGTCCATCTGGCTGACAGGTAACCAGCGCTGCTCGGCGTTCCGTTATTCCTCGGCTGCAAACCAGGCGCTTCTCATCGAGGATGGCTAGATGGTATTCACAGAAATCAATCAATGATGCCACTTGCTCATGAAGTGGGAGTGACTTGTATCTTCTCTGAGCCAGGCAAAAGAAAGCTTCTATGAAGGCTTGCAAGCACATACCTTCAAATAAGAAGAGAGTTTAGATTAGAATCATGGCACAGACTTCTCTCACATGCTGCAGTCTTTTAATCTAGTATGTCTCATTTCTATACCCCTGTTCATCCCAAAGACTGGATGTGTATATACATACTCCATCTCTCTCTCTCTCGTGCGCACGCTATTAGTTAATTCCTTTTTAATTCAAGCAGCAACTGCCTAGAATGGTCACAAACAAACACCCATCCTCTGCCCTTCAAAGACCAAAATGAGACATTTTCCTTGTATTTGACACATAAATCAAACAGCTCAAAGATTTAAAAGAAGTGTCCCAGAATAGCAAACATGCCCAAATTGGGTTATAGATGGGTGACATTCCTGAAAGTAGAAGCTATTCATAAGGATATGCTGTGATCTCTACAAGCATCAGTCTGACCTGATAGTCTGGCATCTGGAGGTAAATGGCTACAGGAACTATTGATTCTAAGAGGTTGTGAAATTGAATTGACACAAGATCAGCCCTGATTCTTGTTGCTTCAGACATTACGTTGAAATTGAGTCTGACACATACTCACATGCTGAGCTCCAGAGAATATAATCTGCCCAAGGAAAAAACAAGTCATATGTGAAACTGAAGTGTGTCATTTTAAACACAAAATGGGACCAAACCAAAATCTCAGATATGAACACAATACAGATTTCAGGGTGTTTAGGTTTATGGCTCTGTAAACCTGGTCCCATTAATGGGTGCCCTCAGTAATGTACAAGTGAGTTATCCTAAACTTCCTGTCCTCTCTGCTGACACTGCCCTGTGCAGCCACCCATACCTGGCCTTTCTGCTGAGATGCCCACTAAGGCTACCAATTAGTGACAGTCCTGGTAGTGGTGTTGGCAATGTGGACACTTCTCCACTAGGAACTGGACTGTGACTCACCAACTTGTTTCACATATGTCACCAAACTGCCATCAGATGGTAACAACTTGGTCTCTACTGACCTAAGCTGGATTCGAACTGGCACCTGGAAGTGAAAGGCTCCATGGTTCCACCATCACTCCTTTCAGCAACTCAGTCCCTCCATTTTTTTGTAAATTGACACTCTGTTGTTGCACATGCAAAAGCACAACTTTCCAGTCCACGATTCTTTGCAGACACTTTTCCTTTCTAACTAAAGGAGGCCACAAATGGGAGGTTGGGGCCTGGCTGGCCACACAGTACTTCACAGGCCAAGTGCAAAGACTGGAACCTGCATGTGGGCACAGATGGGCTATTCAGCTCATGGCATCTAAGTGCTCGGCTGGGTTCTCCGCAGCAGCAGATGGCCTACTTTGGCTTTTCTAAAGTCTCTTTCTCTGGCTCCAGGGAAAGCTGCTCCTGCAATGGTTTTGCATTCTTTAGATGTTTCCCGTCAGTCCTTACCGCACTAAGGACTGGTACTTTGACTTGAATATTCTTCATTAGGGACTGCAGATGAATACTCAGATTCTCTCTCCTCCCCAACAACAGCCCTTAGTTCCTGCTGCCTTCTTCACCCCTGCCTTGGTAAGACTAAACATTCAGCTGAAACACCAGTGTTAACGCCCCTGTTTTAACGAGAGGTGCCCTGAGATCTTTAACAACCAGAAGGGGTTAGGCGCTCAGATTTCTCTCTCATCCAGGAGACGGCCCCTCCAGCCACACACACAGCATAGTATGGACACAGAGGCAAGAACCCCTTACTGGATCACCATCACCACTGCCTCCAAAAAGCTGGGTTCTCCTTTAGGTCTCCTATCCAAGTACTAACTCCCACCCCTTCTTAAATGTGTACGATGGGAAGTTCACATCCCAAGGTGGGACAGACGAAGGCACACAGCAGATTGATCACATGCACCTCATTTATTCTAAAGGACTGGCTTCCCCAGTCCGCTCCAAGAAAAGAGTCTGCTAACATTACTTGTGGGACTTTTCTACATATCTCCCAGGTGAGTGTGTAATTTCACTGATATCAGGAAAGAGATTCTGCTTAACCTGAACAGAGCCCTCTAGCACAGATGATCTGTTGTAATTGCAGGAAACCCAAGCTCTTGGAGTGTGCAATAAGGGAAAGAAGAGCAATGGCAAAGATTCCGCGGCAAAGTTCAGCTTCCCCCAAGCAACCTGCAGAGAAGCCAGACGCTGCAGAAACAGGACTTCTAAGGTGTCCTCTGATTGCATCACATTAACAGCATGTTACAATGGCCAAGGGAAAGGGTGGCTAATTCCTGCTTTTTGGAACCTTGCCGTAATACCCTATTTAATTCTTAATTAAGGACCTATGCACCGCCGTACCTTTTCAGAATGTCAGCAACAAGCAGCTGTCATATCTGGTTTGCATCGTAACTTGCTCACCCAGTTAGAGCACACACTTAAGGGGATTATTTTAAGATCAGATGCTGAGGGGTTTTTTTTAAAACTCAATTTAGGTTTATTGATGTTGCAAGAAAAAGCATCTTTTTAAACATTACAATTACAGTCTGAAGTATAATTTCTCTTAAATAAGACTGCAATTGGGGTCACTTACAAGCTCTGTGGTGAAACAGCTTGCAAAGAAATTGTTGGGTTATCTGACAGCAGCAGCTGCCAGCTCAGTAAATTATTTTATCAGTCATGGTGAGCTATCATGTGGGGAAAAGGGCCGATTCGGTAGCATACATATTTTCCCCCCATAAGTGACACTCATGCAGAGTATTTAATGGAAAAAGTTAGAAGCTGCTGTTTTACAATAACAGAAACAGCTATTGTTTGATTTACAGTTGGAAGTGGGCCAAATTCAAAGCCAAATTGCCACAGATAGTTCAGGAAGATTATTATATACAGAAATATTACATTCCATTTTTATTTTTTCCTTAAAACTTCTGGTTCACTGTAACCCTAAACAAATCTGGTAAGTCTTGGATGCTGAAATCCTGGGCTTGAAGGTTCTCCTGCCTGTGATTCTTTTGCTAATACAGTTCTGTCAACTAATTTAAAATAAAAGACTTGGTCACACAGTGAAATTCTAAAGAGAAATCTGCAGGTTTTCTGTACGATTCCTCTCTGTAGAAACACCACCACCCCTCCCTCTGTACAGACAGTACTTTGAGCACCTGGAAACCTCGTTACTGTTTTGTGATTGTAAAAATCAGGGGGTTCCTAATGTAGCTATACCAAGTACAGTGCAGCGATTCAGACATTATTAAACATCTGATGAATACTATCTTATTTGTAATATATATTCAATTTTTCCCTCTGATATTAGGACTACATTTGTTCCCTTTATCACTCCTTTGAGCAATATATTTTATGTATTACTCTGTGTGCCTGATGTGTATGGCAGCTGTTATATATAAGGTTAATATACAGTAGAGTTTATCTTATAAACTAGGTAAAATAATACTTGTCTAAGGGTGCAGGCTTCATTAACATCTGTGAAGCACTTTTAGATCTTCAGCAGGATCTAAGTATTTTTACAGGTGTGATATCTGGCCACATTCTAGCAAATTACCACTGTGTATCATTTAGACACTTGGTGTTTATGTAGGAGAGAGATAAGAGCCATTTTGTAGAAATAAAATACTGATAAATCATGGAAAGGAATTCTCAGCTGGAGTGATTTTTTATTATTCCACCGCTTTGTTCCTTAAAAAAAAAAATATGTACATGCACACATGTATGTGTATAATTAGAATAAATATACGTGTGTGTGGAGGGGGGGTTGTGTGTTTTTTATTGGGGGTGTTGTTTTTATGTTCTAAGTACACTAGGTTTTGGTCTTAGTTGAAAGATAATAGCCTGACAGCTTTTTAGACTCAAATGCTTGCTTTATAATAAACTAAACTAATACCACCTAACTCTGATACAGTGCTTTTCATCAGCAGAGTTCAAAGTGCCTCACAATCCTTAGTGTATTTATCTTCATCACAACCCCCCTCTGAGGCATGGCAGTGCTATTATCTCCCTTGTTCAGATGGGAACTAAGGCACAGAGAGGGTAAGTGACTTAGCCAAGTCACAAATGGAGTCTGTGGCAGAGTAGGGACTGAATCTGGGTCTCCCAAGACCTAGGCTAGTGCCGAACCACTGGACCATCCTTCCTTTCTGATTCTTAGAGCAAGTGCTATACAACAGGCAGTGGCAATGCAAGGTTCCCTCAAACGCCCCACTGTGACTCAATTCTCACCTTGAAACACCACCTTTGTCATTGTGAAGGTATTAGGTCTCTATAGTCATTCCATCCATAGTTTTACAGCTATCGCTGCCAACAAAGGTGCCAATGGCAATGGTATTTTTTGAGATGGGGACACCTGTCCAGTAAAAAAACACCAGACTTATTTCACAAAAGCTACTAAGCAGCTGTCAGAAACATATGGCCTGATTTTCTTATTGGAATGTGATAGCGATTTTAGAGCTTAAGTTATAAAACACTCGATATATTTAAGCCATTACTGCAACAAGAAAATCACCTCTGAACTCTGCTATCTTGACAAATTAGTATGTCTCAGGTTTACACATGTGAACGGAGCTAGTAGGGAAATCATTACCCACTAAAGCCAGGCTAGTGAAACTAACAAACTATCAGACAGAAGTATGCTTTCTTCGTTTCATTAAATGACAGACAAGCCAGCTCACTAAGAATGGTGATTAGCAAGCTGAGGCTAGTCCAGACTGAAAGGTCAGCCTGGACTCCCATTAAACAATGTAATTTATATTTCACCAGAATACAGACACACATTGCCTAGAGTATTGCTAATTTAGCTGAAGATGTCACAGCATCAACTCATCGTTCATTGTGATTGTCTTATGGGACTTTGGGTGTGTAGAATACGATTGACTGCTCATGTTTTAAAAATGTATTATGCAGAAGTCATTTGTTTAGTTACAGAAACTAATTTTGTAGCATTCTTAATTATTTATTGAGGAAAGCAAACCTTGTCTACCACTAATAAAAAAGAGTGGCAAGACCGTTAACAGGTAAAGTGATCATAGATACTCAAACAGAGAAGATAAAAACTTCTGAAAATTTTTTA